AGATCAATTTTTCAAAAATGGTGATATTTTGGCAAATGTCAAAAAATTGATCCCTTAGTGCACATGAGAGTATCATCAAATTTGCATGAAAATTTAAATCAAGTTCACACAGTATGGCATCCTTGAAAATTTAGCCAGATGGAATATCCGACACATAGCTCATCCGATATGATTAGTTGGACCTATGGTCAAAAGCTTAGTTGAACCAAACTTGCACTGCTCAACTACATCAGTACTACTACATGATTACATATTCTTAATTATTGCGAACATTTATGGCCTGGTTTGGTCCGGTTTTCAAAATTATGGTTCAAACGACAATCGAAGCAGCAACGTTGAAGTGGCTCTCCGCTTTGCACTGACGATGTCTCTAAACAGTGATGACAAAACTCTAGTGGTAGCATTGACTAAATCCTGGACCACGGAAATGGCAAGGTGCAGCGGCTGAGAAGCTATCTCTTAAATTTAATTTTGTCGTTCTTGGGCATTTGTTGATTCGAGATCAAGGGTTTTTTTGTAATCTAGGGTTTATTTCTGTGACTTTATCTACATTTTCTTTTCGATTTTTGAATGTTAATCTGGGTTTCCTATGGATCTTTAATGATGCTGTGTTTCACTTATACTTCCTTCATGAGAGTGTTGCTGAAGCTACTCTCATTATATTTTCTTTCATTTTCTTTTAGAGTTGAGATGTAATTAGGAGGGGTTTGTCATTTTATTATGAACATTTTATTTCTTTGCAATGTGTTTTTACTCCGTTGTATTCAGGTGCCCTGGCGGCAATCAAATACTTATGTAATTGTACACATTATCATGAATGAAGGCCTTGAAGTATGTTTATACATCTCGTGTAACTTAACATAGCTTCAGTCCATAGACTATATCGCTTTAGTAACATATATGAGGACTACTATATTTTTATTATGACACTGTTACTTCTTGAAGAAGACTAAGTATAAAATATCCCTAGTCGCACTTATGATAATACAGACGTCATAACGTACCAAAACTAGTATGTACGAGATGACATAGTTGCATCTCATAGACTATAGATATTGTGATATCTTAATTTGTACATAGGTGCATATTATATCATTAATATGTGACTAGATTGACCCGCTCTTAGAACACCGCATGGATCTATAATAATGTGTTTATTGGTATTCTCAATACGACCTTGCTATAACTATCGTTAGACTTGAAGTTATTACAATCTCTGGTATGTGAGGTTGTATACTTTGATTCATAACTAATTCTATCTAAAATACTGGTAGACGTATAGATATGCATTGGGTATTCCATGTTATTAAACCTAAATCAGACCAAAACATAGAGAAAGTAGCAAAATAGGAGTTCCATGTTATTATTCCCTACACATGAGTTTGCGCTATGGTAATGTGGCACTATGCATGTACATTTTACCTAATGTACATGGTTATGATTGGTAATATAAATGCATTTTAACTCCTGTTTCAAAAATAAAAATATGGTATTCCTATTTTGGTATATTTTGAATGTTTTATTCTTATTTTAGTCTTTCTCCCATTTCGCTAAGCATACTTAGAGATGTGAATAACAAATATAAGACTTAGGAAAGTGCAAGGCCATGCCTAGATATGTCACTATATAGAAACTGATAAATATTTGATCCCGGTAAGTCTACTTGAGATTAAGTAACTGCTAATTCAACTATACAAGGATACACATCTCATGCCTTGTGTTGAATCATGACATTTAGAGGGAAGGATAACAATTATAGAACGTCTAGTATCGTACAAGGTATTGATGAGATGAATGTCTTTTCATAACATGGAGGTAACAATGTCTTACTAGATACCACTAATTATATGTGGTATTTATTAATAGTAATATCATGTCCAATGTTATGGATACCTAAAAGGGTCACATACTTAGGACTAGTAACAGAGTAGTATACTACACTAGCGGGAGTCATATTAAATATATAGTTGTGATAATTTTATATATGTATTTCAAAATACATATAAAATTATATTTTGTTTGATTAATTATATTATAATCATATTTTGACAAAATGCAATATATATATATATATATATATATATATAAAATTTTATTTTTCATCTTTTAATTATATGATAACTATTCATGTCAAAATAAAATATGATGTATTTTTAATAGTCAATTTTAAAATTGACATGAAGAAAAACAAATGATGTTTATTTTATTTTGACTAAAGTTGTTAATCAAATATTTTATTAATTGATTATGTCTTTTGTCTTGTTGTGTTGATGAGGGACATATTAAATTAATCAATTTTAATTATATGATAATTATTCATGTCAAAATAAAATATGATGTATTTTTAATAGTCAATTTTAAAATTGACATGAAGAAAAACAAATGATGTTTATTTTATTTTGACTAAAGTTGTTAATCAAATATTTTATTAATTGATTATGTCTTTTGTCTTGTTGTGTTGATGAGGGACATATTAAATTAATCAATTTTGTTTTTGTCTCCTAATTATTTCCATGAAGTTTCCTTAATGGTTTGTTATAAAATAAGACATTCCTCTCTTATTTTTGGAAGTGAATATCGGCCAAACCAAAAAAAGAAAAGAAAAAGGAAGACAAAATATTTTGGGTGTTAAATTTATTTTCTAAAGTGTTATTAGAATTTTACATAAAATATTTCCAAAAAATATTCATAACATAAATATTTTAGTATACATTTTATTACTCCCAAAAGTAGTAATATTATAGTTGTTACTATCCTAGAGTAAACTTGCTAGTACAAGGTTAGTCTAGGACTCCAGAGCAAGTTCGTGTGGATACGTTAGAGGCAACATACGTTTGGCGCTACTGTTTATCTCCTCAATTCCATCTCACGGCTAAGGTAAATTTCACGGCTAGTAATTTGCATAAGTTGTTCTAGGGTGGAATCGAGATTTAGGTGTTGTTTGGTTGGGGGTAAATATTAAGGAAAACAATTCCACGGAGAATTATTCTTCAATCATATAATTCATTGTTTGGTAGGAAAATGTTTTCCTTCACCTAATGTCACTAAACACAGAAAATTGAATCAAAATTTTCTTGGAAAATATTTTACGCCCAACCAAACATACCATTATAATCCAAAATTTAATATCATTTGCATAATCCAAGACTCATTTTTCAATAGTGGTATCGGAGCCGGCATACGAAGTTACTTATTTAATAATTTTACCATTAGCGTTTTTAAAAATTAGTTAATAAATTTTGGAGACACAAATTTGTCCCAATATAAAATTTTATTAGGTGGCCATATTTAGATAGTGTACTTAACATTATTTAACTTTTTTATTTTTAGAATTACTGTTTGGGTATTTTTCTTTATATTTGTTAAGTAGTTTATGCGTATAATACTTGTTATTTGTGTCATAAATACTTAATAAATTTTGAAAATGGGACTTTATATTTTCTGGTATTTTTTGACATATATATTAATTAGAAAATATAAAATTGATTTTTTGAATTCATTTCCTATTTTCTATTTTCTTATTCGATAATTAGAGAGAAAATAGAAAAAACTATGTTTTCACGTAAGAAATTTATTTTTAATTCAGATAAACTTGAAACTAATTATTTTAAGCTTATTCAAAAATTTAAGTTATTTTTCCGAACGTAAAAGTATTTATTTTGTATTTTTGAAGTAATTAAAACGGTATTGTTCATCATTTCGGTTTTTAATTATTTAAAACTCAAAGTTAATAGTTTAAATTCTTTAAATTTATATTCTGGTTCTGGAACGTATTTATGACTTGAAAAATAAATTTTTCTAATTTTGGAAATAAGAAATATATTTTACCAATATTATTTCGGTTTTCTACTCTTGAAAAATGGTTTTCAAAGTTATTAATTTTTTTATTCTGTAATTTGAAAATTTTCATATTAATAAAGTTTATTGTTTCTCTCCAATAATTATTTTCAAATTTAGAAAACATATATGCATCTAAATCAAATTAAAATCCCAATTTTCATTAAATACATATGTTACAGTAAAATATAAATTTTTTTTCTGGAATTCATAAAATTAATTTCTCAAATTCTTGATTTTTAAAAAAGTTTATACAATTTTAATTTAATTTTTTGGTTGTTTAATTGATTTTTTTAATAGTTTATTCCGTAGAATGGTATAAACTAGAGTTTTGGGGTGAGCGCGATTTGCCCAATATGTTATTTAATTAATATGTAAGATGAGGTTCATTTCATACTTTTATATATTATTTCATGGTTGATGATTGTGGCCAAATTAAATTTATTGAAATTTGTAAATATGGCCTACGTGTCGTGCCTCGTCTCTATACTCTGGATGTAATTCTCTTTTTTACCTCATATTTTTTTCTATCAAAATTATATAAACGAAGACAAGAGAGTAAAGAGCCGTTCGTGATGAAGCTTCCTAAAGAAGATCTGATAGGTTGGAGATAATGATCTCATGAAGAAGGTGTTCTCGTTAATCTTTCTTTAGGGGCCACAATCATTTCACGTTTATTTATTATGTATGTGTCATGTATGATTGAATGAATGCTTGTATGTGATTTTTGCTATTGCATACATGTGGTGTCTGCTTTAGGCAAGACTACGATAAAATCTCTCATAATTTTATGTCGGTGCCACCCTGACTACCCGCGAGACATCTAGTTTACGTTGGTGCGATGCAAAACCCGTAACTAGGGTACTAACTCACCCCGGGTTGGACATAACTAAGTTTTGGTGAAAGGATGAAAGACTTAGGGTATTGCGGTAGGATCAATAAATAAAATCAGCTCATCCAAAAGAGAGTTGTAACCTATTACAATTGGAATTTATTCCTACTAGAAATAATTTAACGGTAGGGCAAGATGCAAAGCACAACTATAGTTAAATAAAATATGGATCTTTCATAATTAGAATATTATTTAAAAGAATCCACCGAACCAAGAGTTGTGATAGTGATTACAATTGGAAAGTACTCTTACCTAAATAACTTGACTGTAGGCCATAATGCAAAGCACAACTATAGTTGTTATGGCGCTTGGAGACAAAGGGCCACAACTCGGACTGTTGGAGTTGATCATCAAGGTTCTGATACCCCTTTTGTTGGGGGCAGAGTTCCGAGAGGACTCGTGGAGGAGCCATCGATAGTTTGGTGAAATAGGTGAGGAACTGGGTGAGTTGCTCCTCTGTCCTGAATTGGAGATACGATCCGTCGAGGTATGGGAAGACCTCGGATGCGGTGTTGGAGCTTGGGCCTTGCTATTCCTGGGTTTCTTTTCCTTGCTCTTGTCCTTGGCCATTGATGCGGAGTTTTGAAAGATCTTTGAAGGAAAATGGAGTGTAAGGCATACAGATTTAATGAGAGAAGATTATTGTGAGTAAAAAATAGTGGAAATGATGTGAATATATAGGAAATGGATGGAGAACCGTATGAGATTTGAAAAATATAAATGTTGGAGCATTGAATGGAGTGTCCAACAGATAAAAGTTTCAAATTTAGCACCCCGAACATCGATATTCAGTGCCCAACATTGCTGTTGGAACATCGATGTTTGGGTTTGAACATCACTATTTGCGTTAACTTTAAAAAATTGAAGCAAAAGTAACAGGGATGTACAGATGTCAACAGGGCTGTCGTGGGTGTTTCTGTTTTGGAAACGGATGAAGAAACATCAATGTTTAATAGTTAACATCGCTATTGAGTGAGCTTCTACCTTGTAACTAGCTTTCACTAACATCGGTTATGGACAACACAACACTGACTTGCTTCTTACTAAACCATGAGACTAGATAACTACCAATAAGGTAGCACGTTCCTTTTGTACTTTTACGATCCTACTTGCAACTGATAAAATCCAAGTCGGAGTATCCAACGAGATGACACGAAGAGTCTTTTGGATACCATAGTCCAACGCTAGCTGTACCAACAAGATATTTCATGATCCGTTTTACCGTCGTTAAGTGTGATTCCTTCGAAGATGATTGGTACCTCACGTAAAGGCATACGCTAAACATATTATCTGACATGCTAAAGGTAAGATAAAGAAGGGACCCGATCATACCTTGATACTTCTTGACATTTACTTCCTTACCTTTCTTGTCTTTGTCAAGGTGGTCAGATGTACTCATGGGTGTCGCCATGGCTTTGGCATTATTCATTTTGAACTGCTTTTACAACTCCTTGCAATACTTAGATTGGCAAATGAAGGAACCATATCTCATTTGATTTACTTATAGGCCCAAGAAAAATGTAAGCTCTCCCATCATTGACATCTTGAACTCACTAGTCATTAGCTTTGAAAAATCCTTGCACAAACACTCATTAGTAGCACCGAAAATAATATCGTATACGTAAATTTGAACCAAAAGGATGTTATTTTTTTTACTCATGATAAAAAGTGTTGTATCAACCTTTCCCATTTGGAAACCACAATCTAAAAGAAATTTACTCAAACATTCGTACCAAGCACGGGGTGCTTGTTTAAGACCGTAGAGTGATTTCTTGAGTTTAAAGACATGATTGGGATAATCAAAGTCTTCAAACCCCGGGGGCTGGTTAACATACACTTCCTCTTGAATAAAACCATTGAGGAAGGTAATTTTACCATCCATTTGATAAAGTTTAAAATCCATAGACAAGGAAAAATCAATAAGTAAACGAATAGCTTCTAAACGTGCTACGGGTGCATAAGTTTCTTCATAATCAATGTATTCTTCTTGATTGTTTCCTTTAGCTACAAGCCTAGGTTTTTTTCTAGAGATTACACTATTTTCATCTAGCTTGTTATTGAACACTCATTTCGTACCAATAACCGTATGATCATTGGGCCTTGGCACCAATTCCCAAACGTCGTTTCGTTTGAATTGATTTAGCTCCTCTTGCATAGCCAAGGTCTAGTGTTCATCGTTTATTGCTTCGGAAATGGTTGTAGGTTCAATTTGATAAACAAAAGCCATGTGTCATATGGTTTCCCTAAGAGAGTTTCAAGTACTTACCCCTCGGTTGATGTTGCCGATTACCTAGTCAAGAGGATGAATTTCGTTCATCCTCCATGCAATGAGAAGCATGGTCTCTCCTTCTTCTTGTTCTTCTTCTTCCTCTTGTTCTTGGTGTGTTTACATCCACTTCTTCTTTATCATCTTGAATATGAACTCATGCCAGTCCATTCGCTCAATTGACTGCCCCATGTCGTCCACCGTGAGGGTTCTCCGATTCAGGGTATCGGCTATGGATTACAAGGAGGCCTTGGCGGGAGCGGGGGCTGGTGCACGACTCGGGCCTGCGCCGTCTGTGTTTCAGGACTTCTTCCGGAAGGTGCCGTCGGCGATCATCCAAAGCTTCGTCATCTTTGTGTCCGGGCCGGCAAATTGGATGTCGGAGGACACGATGATATCCATGACGAAGAAAGCGTAGGGCAGGCTTCGCTCGGTGGCAATGGAAGCGCAATCCACCATGTGGATCATGACGAACTTTGCCCAATTGATGTTGGCGTCGTGGATGATTGCATGAATGGCCTTCAAGTCCTCGATGAAGAGCGAGGTGTGGCTACTGTCCCGGGGGCGGAGAATCTGGGTGAGGAGGTAGAGAAGAAGACGCTTCTCCGCCGGGGCCGAGTGGATCGTCAGGGCGCCACTGTGGCGGATGAGGTTGGTGATCCCAAGCTCTTGAATGACGACCGCCTTGTGTTGACGATCCAATCATCACCTCTGTATGTGGCGATGTCGTCTCCTAGAATAGGCAGCCCTGCGTTTCGTGCAAAGGTAGGCAAATCAATCTCTATGTCGTAGAGATTGATGCTAGTGTAGTGGGTGTCACCTTTGCGGCGGAGATTTGAGTAGAAAGCCTGGACAAAAGCGGGATTGAAGGTCGTGCGACTCTTTGAGACGAACGCCCATAGACCCGACGCTCGAAGTTGATTGTCGAGGTTGTGATACCCCTTTTGTTGAGGGTACAACTCGGGCATCACCTTGGGCTAAGAGATAGGGCGTTTAGCGAAATGCGTGAGGAACCGGTTGAGTTCCTCCGCTGACTCGAACTCGAGAAAGGATCCGTCGAGGTAGGGGAATGGTTGAGGCGCAGAGGTTGTGGCGTCGGTGTTGCCCTTCTTCTTCGAAGCCTTCGTCTTTGATTTTCCTCCGGCCATAGTTGAGGCGTTTAGGAAGAAATGAAGAATTATGCAAAATAGGGCTAGAGGAGTGAATTTGAGATGAGAATTGTATGAAAAAAAGACCAAAAGTGATGGATATTTATAGGGAAAGGGGTTGAGGGCCGTTTGAATTCAAAAATATGGCTGTTGGGAATTAAATTGGGTGCCCAATGGCTATTATTTTTTGAACTGCATCAGCTTTCCCAGCGATGGTAGGATCTACCCATCGATGGGAAGGTAGCCACTGGAGAGTGTTGAAGAATTCAAGGCTGTCTTCCCAGCGATGTGTGCGTTCTCCCATCGATGGGAAGGTGGCTACTGGAAAGAGGAGAAATACTGAAGGGACCCTTCCCTGCGATGTTAATACCACCCCATCGCTGGGTAGGGGAGTTTTTGAAATCCGTTAAGAGTTTTTTTTAAAAATAGTGTCAAACACCCAGCGATGGGAGGAAGTTCCCATCGATGGGTAAGGAGGTTCTGGAAAAAGATTTTAAACAAAAATCAATCACCCAGCGATGGGAGAAAGATCCCATCGATGGGTAAAGAGGTTCTGGAAACCCATTAAGCATTTTTTAAAAATAGAGTCAATCACCAAGCGATGGGAGGAAGTTCCCATCGATGGGTAGAGAAGTTCTTGAAAGAAGAGACCTCCCTCCCAGCAATGGTATAAGCAACCCATCGCTAGTTCCCCCTAACTTCCTGATTCCCTCACTTCGAACCGTCCCTGCAAAAAAGAGTTAGAAAACCCTCTGACGCTGAAAGAGTAATAAAATGCACAAATTAGATCATCGTGGAGTCAAGGATTCCGAGTTCACTACGAATGCGGAAGAACGACTCTTTCTCTAAAGGTTTTATGAAAATGTCGGCTAATTGGTTGTGTGTTTCAACAAACTCAATTTCAACATCACCTTTGAGAACATGATCTCTAACGAAATGATGCCTAATGTCAATTTGTTTCGTCCTTGAGTAAAGAACAGGGTTCTTCGTCAAGCTTATGGCGCTAGTATTATCACAAAGAAGTGGAACGTGATTGATACTAAGGCCATAGTCCACGAGTTGTTGCTTCATCCAAAGGATTTGAGCACAACAACTTCCGGCGACAACGTATTTCGCTTCGATTTTGGATAACGCAACACTGACTTGTTTCTTGCTAAACCATAAAACTAAAGAGCTACCAAGTAAGTAGCTTTTCTAATTCTTTTAGCTCTTCAAATAATAAAAGATGGATCTTCTAGAATAATGATCATCTTTCCCTTACATCTTGCCAAGACAGCAACCAGGTTTCACACTGCACTTTCATCCTAACAGCCAACCAAACACCTATCCTTATTTCCTCTGTTTATGGTGCCCATTCCATATCTGATAGAAGAGATCATTGGAGTAATCTTCAAAACACCAGCCAAATTACCCACCAATGGATTATTGGAGCAGATTTCAACCATTGCATCTCTCTCCGAATTCAAAGGAAAATGCACCCCAAACTCCCAAGGAATGGAAGAGTTCTCAGATTGTATCTCAAACTGCAACCTTATCTCTCTTGAGCCATCAGGGGGATTGTTCACTTGGTACACTAGGAGCCAGGGCAAAACCTCGAGGAGACTAGACACAGTGCTGACAAATCTTCCACTGCTTGCCTACTTTGATGAAGTCTCTCTCAAGCACCTGTCCAAATTCAATTCAGATCATAAACCCCTTTTGCTACATTGGATTAAGGCTACCTCCTTAGGACCAAAGCCTTTCAGGTTTCTTAATGCCTGGACCCTGCATGACACCTTCCTTGATAGGGTAAAAACCACTTGGGCTAGTCTCCCAACCATTGGAGATATGAGAGGATTGGCCAACAAGCTACTTTGCCTAAAAGCAACCCCTAAAGCCTGGAACCAGGAAACCTTTGGGAACATTTTCTCCCAACTACAGAAAGCAGAAGAGCATTCATTGAAAGAAGAAAACGACTTTGAGAACAATCCTACTCAACAGAATAAAGAAAGAATGCAGAAAGCCAATGCAGACCTGGTTTATGCAACCAACTTGAAAGTACAATACTAAAAGCAGAAAGCAAATATAATATGGCTTGAAAAGGGTGATTCCAACACCAAATTCTTCCAAGCTTATGTTAAGGGAAAGAGGAAGAAACTCTCCATCACTTATATTATCAAATCAAATGGAGCTGGCAACAGCAACCCCTCAGATATCAAAACATAAGCCATCTCATATTTTGAAAACATCTTCAAGAAATCCCACCACCCTTCCTTCAATCTTATCCTCCACCTCATCCCCCAGGCCCTATCCTCTGTTGATAACTCCACTATCTGTGCTATTCCCACCTTGGAGGAAGTAAAACGGGCAATCTGGGATCTTGATTGAAATAGTGCTAGTGGGCCCGATGGCTATAATGGAAATTTCTTCAAAACAACCTGGGACATTATTAAAAAGTATGTTCTCTCAGCCTCCCAAGAGTTCTTCATGGGACATCCTATCCCAAGAGCTTTTGGAAGCACCTTTCTGACCCTCATTCCAAAAATAGGGAATCCAAAAAGGTTTTAAGATTATAGGCCGATATCTCTTTCTACCTTCATGAGCAAAATTAACACCAAACTCCTTGCAAATAGGCTCAACACCATCCTTCCCAAACTAATCTCTAAAGAACAGGCAGCTTTTCAGAAAGATAAGTCCATAGATGACCATATCCTTATGGAACAAGAAGCTGTACACATCCTACACAAGAAGGTGTTTGGGGGCAGTCTGATCCTAAAGCTAGACATGGCAAAAGCCTTTGACAAACTTGACTGGGTTTATCTTGAAGCTTTACTCAAGGCTTTTGGTTTCAACAATCTTTCCACACCGCTTTAAATGGCAAATCTTAAAGGGACCTTTTTCAGCATCATACTCAATGGTGAGCCAACATGTTTTTTCAAAATGGAGAGGGGTGTTAAGCAGGGAGACCCCCTCTCCCCTCTCTTATTCATTCTTGCAGCGGATGGATTTAGTAGACTCATCAATCAGCAGATGGACACACATCATCTCCTCAAATTCAACTCAGGACAGGTCCCATTTCCTTCACACCTTATTTATGCTGATGACATTATGATTTTTTTCAGGGGTGATACTAGAAACCTCCTCAAGCTTAAAGCCACTCTTGATACCTACCTCAAAGCATCAGGCCAAGAGATGAATTTACACAAGAGTAAATTCTATACCTCAAAGAACACTTCTAACTCCTAGATCCAAAATATGGAGAAAGCTCTTGGAATCAGTAGAGGAAAGCTGCCTTTCACCTATTTGGGAGCACCAATATGTCTTGGGATCTTAAGAAAAGAACACTGCAAGGCCATTCTGGGACATTTTGAAAAACGTATCCACTCCCGGTACAGCAAGACTTTAAATCAAATGGGCAGGCTTATTCTCATCAAACATGTCCTTTCTTCCATCCCCATACACATCATAGCTATGCACACACTTCCCAAATCTATCAGCCAAACTCGCACAAAGTACATGGCTAACTTCCTTTGGAGACAAAAGGATGGTGCAAAGAAATACCACTGGATAAGATGGAGCCAAGTTACGAAACCAAAGGAAGAGGGGGGATTGGGAATCAAAAGCTTAGAGGACCAACATCAAGTGTACATACTCAAGCTGTGGTGGAAGGTAAGAAATGACATGGGAATATGGGGAAAATATGTGAGAGCAAAATACATGAAAAAAGGTATCATCAAGGAAAAGCTTACAAACTCTCCTACATGGAAAAGGATCTGCAGATCAGATGCACTTGCAGCCTCTCACACCAGCTAGATTGATAATGATATGCTTTGGAATGGAGGTACTTTTAGTCTTAAGGAAGCCTACAAGGTAGTTCAAGAGAGTGGACCTCATTTACTATCTTGAAAATATATTTGGCACAGCTCAAGCATCCCAAAAATCAAGATCTTTTTGTGGAAACTCCTCAACGGCGCAATACCTTTCCCACCAGATCTGTGCAGATTTGCATCCTCCCTCCCAAGCTTTTGTCCTTTATGCCAAAAAGACAATGAGGACATTGACCACAACTTACTCCACTGCCCAACATCGTCTCAAGTCTGGAAGAAACTGGCCACTCTTTCTAATGGACCTAGGGTTAAGAACACTACTCTACGCCAACACCTACTTGCATGGTGGTTTGGAAGCAACACCAAACAATTCAAGAGAACCCTCCGTATGATATTACCAGGCCTTTGCACATGGTCCCTTTGGAAAGCACGTAACTTCAGCATCCACAACGATATCAGACCAACAGCAGAGGGAATTTTCCAAGCATGTATAAAGTCAATACAAGCGTGGGCATGGCTTAACAAGAACAAAAAGTGGATGATCCAGGTTTTATATATATATATATATATATATATATATATATATATATATATATATATATATATATATATATATATATATATATATATATTATAGAAAGAAATTTTTATTAATGGATCATGAGAATTGTTTACAGCAATGTGGTAGATGACTTCTACCAACCATGGAAAATTACGAGGTATCTAAGTAATGAAGATTAATTCTACAGCGATATAAACAGAACCCAAAAGATTTCATTTTATCGTCCAGATTCATCCATTTCTTCTCCTTATGAATCCATATCCATTGCTGGATTGTCTTCAAAGTGGTAGCGATGATTGTCCCTTCTTTGAAGGCCTTTCCCTCGTATTTTTCAGCATTATAAGCCTTCCATAATCCCCATGCAATGAATCCCGGNACCATGGAAAATTACGAGGTATCTAAGTAATGAAGATTAATTCTACAGCGATATAAACAGAACCCAAAAGATTTCATTTTATCGTCCAGATTCATCCATTTCTTCTCCTTATGAATCCATATCCATTGCTGGATTGTCTTCAAAGTGGTAGCGATGATTGTCCCTTCTTTGAAGGCCTTTCCCTCGTATTTTTCAGCATTATAAGCCTTCCATAATCCCCATGCAATGAATCCCGGAAGTACAGCATTAAGTCTATCCTGCATTTTGGTCCTAGGTGTGCTAACCCACCATTTCATGCATGTATCATTAAGGGTATCTGCCCTATTGACCACAGGACTATTGAAAAGAGCTGAGAAAAATCTCCATATCTTGTTTGACATTTGGCATTGGATGAGTGTGTGGTTTAGGTCCTGGGGCCCATGGTGACAGAAGTTACATTGAGAGGGGATGGCGAGGTTGAATCTGGCTAGATTTTCCGAGAATGGGAGAATGGAGTTGAGAGCTTTCCACATGAAGAGACTGACCTTTGGGATCTGTAGTTTGTTCCATACCATCTTGCTAACGAGAGAAATAGGTTTGGATTCCCTCCAGGAGTGATAAGCAATCTTGGTGGTGAAAGGTTCTCCCTCCCATGTTTCGGCATCATCTGTGTTGTGGACGTGCTGAATAGCCCATGTATGAATTCGTGCAGCCCTCTTCCAAGTCGCTGTATCCGTAGGGCATTCTTGAAATGAGGCTGGACGGTATTTGCTCCTCATATAATCTCCCCATAGGCCGTGGGAGTTTCTAATCTTCCACCATATTTTGGCCGAGTAGGCAGCTTCAACATCTTCCAGGTGCCTGATGCCCAACCCTCCCTCGTACTTTGGGTAGCATAAACTTCTCCAGGATTTCCAGTGGTATTTTGGCCTTCCATCTATGTACCCCCAAAGGAAATTTTGCATCTTCTTGTTTAATAAGCTGTGAACTTACTTTGGCATCTGTTGGACAGCAACAATATGTAAAGGAATAGAGCTTAAAACATGTTTAATGAGAATCAGGCGCCCCATTTGGTTAAGAACCTTTCTATGTCAAGTGTTAAGGTATGCATCAAAGTGTAATATAATCTTCATGCAATCTTCTTTTTTAATCTTCCCTTTGCCAATTGTTGCCCCCAAGTACACGAATGGGAGCTTGCCTTCTTCCATTTTGAGAGCTCTTCGCATGTTGCTTTTGATATCTGGCTTCACCTTTGATCCTATGTAGAAGTGACTCTTGTTGAGGTTGATGAGGTGGCCCGATGCTTTAAGGAAACAGTCTAAGAGCCCTTTGAATCTGAGAAGATTTCTGAAATGTCCATTCAGGAAGAAAATAATATCATCCGCATAGGCTAGGTGTGAGGGGGGTCTATTTCTCCCTGTGGATATGGTTTTCAGGAAGCCCTCCTGAATCTTACCCTTGATTAACCTACTTAAGACTTCATTTCCAATAATGAAAAGGAGGGGGGAGAGGGGGTCTCCTTGTTTGACCCCTCTCATCATCCTGAGGAAACCGTGTGGTGATCCATTAATGAGGATGGAGAAAAAAGTTGCCTTAAGAGTAGATAAGAGCAGGTTACTGGATTGGTGAGAGAAGCCAAAGGAGCTGAGAACTTTCTCAAGAAACTGCCAGGAGATTCTGTCAAAAAGCCTTGGAAAAATCCACCTTGATAGCAATGTTGGCATTACCAGATGCATTGTCTAGACAATGGATCATCTCTTGGGTGAGGAGTATGTTTTCATCCACCCCTTTACCTGCTTGGAACCCACTTTGTTCAGGACTGATGAGTTTATGGAGAAGACAACCCAGTCTATTGGCCAATATTTTGGTATTGATTTTAGAGAGGAATGTGGAAAGAGATATTGGTCTGAAGTCTCCTAGGGGTTTAGGGTTTTCCACCTTTGGAATCAGCGTGAGGAGAGTGGCCCCATAGGATTTAGGTATTGGCAGTCCCAAGAAAAATTCCTGAGTTGCTCTAACGACTTCATCCCTTATAATGTGCCAGAAGGTTTTGAAAAAAGTCCCATTGTATCCATCTGGCCCAGGTGCGCTATTGGCATTGAGGTCCCAGACCGCACCTCTAATTTCCTCTTCAAATGGGATGGTGCAAATCATATTGTTATCCGCTTCTCCAATGAGGTTGGGTATATAAGAAAACAACAGATTGTCATCACATACTGGCTCTGGAGAATATATGTTGGTGTAGTATGTTATGGCATGAGATGCAATGTTGTTGTTACCCTCGTATATCCTCCCAAGTTCATCCTTGATTGATGATATGTGAAGTTTTTGACGCCTGTTTTTAACAACATTATGGAAAAATTTGGTACTAGCATCACCATCCTTTAACCATTTGATGCTGGATTTTTGCTGCCAGAATTCTGTTTCTCTTTTGGAGAGTAGGAGTAGCTCCGCATTGGCCTTGTTAAACTCAACCAAGGATTCTGGGTTTGGGTTAGCCTCAAAAGAGTCCTGAGCTCTCTTAGCATTGGACTCAGCCTCCTTAAGGTTATGAAAATCATTACCAAATTCTTCCTTGCTCCATTTGGTCAGAATAGACTTGAGTGCTTTGAGTTTCTGCCCAAGTCCTGACATACCATTGAATGTTTTATTATTCTCCCAAAAACACCTGATTGTGCCTTCCAAGGTGTGGTGTGAAACCCACATGTCCAGGAAACGAAAAGGTTTGGGGCCATTATAAGAATTAACAGCAAATTCCAATAAAAGAGGCCTGTGATCCGAAGCACCTTTACTCAACATTGATAGATGTAAGTTGTTGACACTGTCCACCATTTGCTGATTGCTGAAAACGTGGTTCAATCTGCGCCAAACTTTCCCTTTACTTCGTGTCCCACTCCAGGAGAAATGTCCACCTGAGGGTTGTATGTAAAGGAGATTATTAGCTTCAATGCAGTCTCTGAAGTCCTCCACTGATTGATAGCATGGATTGCAGCTGCCCTTGTGTTGGTCCATGCTGTGAATGCAGTTAAAATCACCACCAATGACCCAGGGGATCATGTCATTGGTCCAAGAAGTAATGGCGTTCCAAAGGGCTGCCCTCTCAGACCTAGTGTGTCTGCCATAGACTGCTGAAATCCAAAGAGGACCTTTGAGGATGGCTGAGTTGAACTGGCAGAGAGTGACTTGGGGGAGTTCAATAGTTTGAATCAGAGTGAGGATTGGTTCCTTCCAAAGGATCCAAAGCTGTTTATTCCGATGGGAAGAGGCATGGGTCATGCCTAGCTTCTGTTTATATTCCTGGAGCTGATTGTCATCCGGCAAAGGTTCCATAAGACCAATAAAAGAGAGGTTATGAGTAGCTGAAAGAGTTTGGAGTCTAGGAGAAGACTTCCTTATTCCGTGTATGTTCCAAAAAAGCAAAAACATTAGAGGGAGTTGGGATCAGCTTTGGTTTGACTCCTCAAAGTCATGCTTAGAGGAGGCATAGGAGTCTTGCTTCCTCTGCCCTTCATAAGTGAAAGTGCATTTGTTTTAAGTTGAGAGAATTTACTCTCTAATGCAGCTAGGGGGCTTTTGTCCTGAATTTTTTCACCTTCCCCATCGGAGTGGATGCAAAGTGGGGTATCCGAGAGGTCTGTGTCTTCAACTGTGGAAAGGAGTGCCAGGTAATCCAAAGGTGAGTTGTGCTCGTTAGTAGCTCCCTTACTCCTGATGAGAGTAGCTTTGTGGATTTGTAACTTGGGAGAGCTTGAGAGGCCGTGACTGGAGTGGGTTTGCTCTAATACGGGCTTGTCTCCAGAACAGGCATTTGATTTTGGGCTTAATTGGCTTCTATGAGAAATGAGAGCTAGAGGGGATCCCCTCTTGGATGGGCCTGGCGTGTCTGCACCATTTTTGTCCATGTTAGCTTGGCCTTTAGTGCATGTGGGTTGGTTCCATGACACCAACTTTTTCTGAGCTGATGTTTTACCATTGCGCTGAACATGGACCCAGTGCATGTTGGGATTTGGCGTGACCTTCTTATCCTCACCTTGCCTCTCATTTGCAGCCCCGCCGGTGAGGACTTTTCCGGAGACCTTTGCTAAGGGTTTGCAACAGTGACCCCAACGTCCACATACCAGACAGAAGGGGGGGAGATCATATATGACATGAATATCACGTTCCCAGGAAGGAGTACGTACCAGAATTGCAGTTTGATGGGTTTTTGAAGCATCCATTTCCACTAACACTCTGGCAGTGTTGAAATACCCTCCCCTCGCTGTGGTCTCATCCATTTGGATGGGAGTTCCCAGAGATTTGACTATGGAGAAGAGGGAGTGAATGTTCGCAAGGAAGAAAGGAATGTTTTTAAGCGTGACCCAAACAAGCGCCAAAGGACTATCCCGCTTATCCTCTAACAGGGGATCCCATTTGGATAGGAAAAGCTGTTGGCCATTGATTCTCCAAGTTTTACGAGATAGTAGCCGGATAAAATCTGATTCAGATTTCAGGATGATAACCACCTGGAATCTGCTAATGGAAATGACCCTGAAGCCGTCTCTAAAACCTCCCCTCTCCAGAGATTTCCCAATTTCAGCAATAGGAACCTTGGCAAAACGAGCTTTAATGGAGAAAGGAAATTTGTCGCCTATCTTAAGGATGTTCTCCTTGCTGAAGGTGACCGTAGGTTTGTTGTTGCCTGCGTAGGAAATGGAGCCAAGGTCCTCTCTCTTCAGCTTTTTGAACAGTTCCGAGAAAAGCTTCACCGGCTTGCCGGAAACGGGCGACTTTCTCTCTCCCTCTCTAGAATCCATTATATATATATATATATATATATATATATATATATATATATATATATATATATATATATATATATATATATATAGACACACACACACACACAATTAATTACTAACTACTACTCCCTCCGTCCCATGAAATCTTTCTCCTTTCTTTTTTTATCCGTCCCACAAAACACTTCTCATTTCTATTAAAAAGTCACTTTTACCCCTTACTTTTTCATACCCTAACTATCACATCATACTTTTTTACTAATAATATATCCATCAAATCATACTTTTACGCATCACATCAAAGGACATTTTTGGAAATTCAATACCAAAATACACTCCCCTTAAATCCCTCCTAAAAAGCAAAAGTCCCATGTTTCATGGGACGGAGGGAGTATTATTTTGTCCAAAATATTTATTAACAACTATATTTCACCAAGAAATAATATTTCTAAGTTTTAATAAAATTCATTTTGAATTTTCCCATATTTATTTTTGGTTTACTCCCAAATAAATGAAATAAATTCAAAATAAGAAATAATTCATTCAAAATTACAATATAATTTTATCAATCATAAAATAATGTTTTATGTCCAAATAAAATTATATTTAGTATATAAAAAATATGTATAAATATATATTTTGAAAAAATCAAAATATATATTTATATATATTACCGTAGGAATAAAATAAATAAATTTAAAATTCATTTTAAATGATTTATTTAAGTCCAATACTTATTCCAAGACCAAATTAAATACTTTTACCAATTTTGAATTTTAATAATTACCAAGTTAAAATTTTGACTTTTAAAAATTAAAAAGTCAAACTTAAAACTATAGTTTTGTACGTTGGCTCCGATACTACTAAAGGGTAACCATGCAAGGATGGACAGCGGAACGTAAAAACTTTAACACCCTAACATGATTATCTTGCCAAGAATCACGTACTAAAACTTATAGTAAGTAAGAAATTTATATCTTTTACCGGAAACGGTAAAAACCAAAAAGTCGTAGGAAGAGCGTTGAAAGTGCAAACGTAACCGTTCAAGCGTCTGCTGTCCAATTTGACACACGAACAAAGCCGTAGTCTACCACAATCTTTATGCTAGTAAAGATTATAGTAGTAGAAAATATAAAGATTAAAATTGGGATTATAATAATCTTGTATATTTATATGGAAAATATTTCTAACAATATTTAAAAAATATTATAGATAGGACTACAAAAAATGTATTTCTCTCTCTAAAATATGATGGCCGAAACTCTTCCATGAAAAATAGCTAATGGTTTATCATTATATTGGTAAAACAAAAAGTTAAATTAAATTTTGTCATTAGCTAAATTACAAAAATAATTAGCCCACTTGAAGATTCAATCATGGAAATTTTGATTCTTCAAAATCCCATTATGGCCGAAAATCAATTGAGAAGGATTTTTAAAATTCTTCTCCACTTAAATGTTCAAAGCGTATTTTATTTGACATCAATCATTAATATAAAATTAACTTTAAATAAAATAAAAATACCAATATTATTTTTAAACAAGTATAAAAATATACTTTAAATAGTTTTTGTCAAACTAATTATTTTCATAATTAAAATGAAAAACCAAAATAAAATATTCAATTATATATATATATATAGAATATTATATTATATTCCAAAATATTTTATTTTACCATTTTACAGCTAAACAAAATTACTTATTATCCCATTGTTTAATCCTAGGCACTTATAAAGCTGGTCATAGCATTGGCTCTGCACTAATTACTATAAGCAATAAGCGGTATCTAGCAACATATTATTGCCCCCAGATTATAACTTAAGACGTTTGCACCGTCAAAACCTTTTCACGACTCACACTCCATGTAACTGTATCCCTTTGTCTCAATGTATAGACGTAACTCAAGGGATTAATAAAATCCAGCTTGTATCCATTAAGACATTCACTTATTTATCATGTCTGACTCATAAGAACAGACGTCATAAAAACATCTCAGCATGGACATGGAATGTTCTCAGTCATAACTTATTAGTGGCCTCATAAGACATTATTCTCTTAACAGAGTAGCGACAAATCCTATGTATGTAATCTACGTTTCTGAACACGCGTTGCGGCATACCTAAAACAAAGTTTGTATATCATCTTTATTTCATATGTCTTAGGACAATACATCAAAGCATGCAGGTTCACATATGTAGAAAACATAATAGTCTTCAAGTTGAAGGATAGTTACATTCGTGGTCGTGCTAAAGATGCTTAGAGAAACTCATGAAATCATGTACGCCATGCACCCCGGTAGAAATAAGATGTATCAAGATCTCAAGAAGACTTATTGGTGGCCGACGATGAAACGGGAAATTTTGAAATTTACGTCTAGATGCTTGACTTGTCGGCAAGTCAAGGCGGAGCATCAAGTTCCGAGTGGATTGCTACACCCACCAGTTATCCCTGAGTGGAAATGGGAGAGGATCACGATGGACTTTGTGATAGGCTTACCCCTATCGAACTAGAAGAACGACGCAGTATGGGTCATTGTGGATTGATTAACTAAGTCAACTCACATCCTTCCTATCTGACGAGACTTTTCTTTGCAGAAGTTAACAGAGCTCTAGGTTCGAGAAATTGTGAGATTGCATGGAGTGCATGTGTCTATCATCTCAAATCGCGACCCGCAATTCACATCGCAATTCTAGAAGTGTCTTCAGAAGGCTCTTGGTACTAAGCTCAATTTCAATACAACGTTTCACCCTCAGACGAATGGTCAAGAAAGAATGATTCAGATTTTGGAGGACATAATTAGAGCTTGTGTCATTGATTTTGGTGATGGTTGGGAATGATATCTTCCATTGATGGAGTTCGCCTACAACAATAGCTACAAAGCTAGCATTCAGATGGCACCGTACAAGGCGTTGTATGGTAGACGTTGCGGAACCCCAGTCTGTTGGACCGAGTTGAGCGAGCCTAAGCTCGAAGGTCCTTACCTTGTTCGAGAGGCAGAAGAGAAGGTCTTCTTGATACGTGATAGATTGTAAATTGCTTCTGATCGTCAAAAGTCCTACGCCGACCTTAAGCGTAGAGAAATTGAGTATAATGTTGATGACCGGGTATTTCTCAATGTTTCCCCATGGAGGAAGGTGTTACGGTTTGGCAAGAAAGGAAAGCTAAGTCCTAGGTTCATTGGACCGTATTGGGTCATTGAACGAGTAGGACCAACAGCTTACCGATTGGAGTTACCCCTAGAACTACAGAAGATACACGATATGTTTCATGTGTCTATGTTAAGAAGATATCGATCGAATCCGTCACATGTTCTACCCGAGGGAGTGGTCACCCTCGACGAAAGTCTCACTTATGACGAAGAACCCATACAAATCCTAACACGTGAAGTAAAGGAGCTAAGGAACAAGACAGTACCCTTGGTCAAGGTGCTTTGGCAAAATCACGCATGGGAAGAAGCAACCTTGGAGACCGAGGAATCCATGAGAGCTCAGTATCCTTAACTCTTCAATGACCAATGACTCAGGTAATTTCTAGGACAAAATTCTTTTAAGGGGGAGGGAAATTTAACGCCCCAAAACCCAGCCTATCAGATATAATTAATTAAAAATAGTTAATTAATTACAGAGATGGACTTGGTTGAATTGAATTAGGATTCCATGGAACGAATACAACGCTGCAATTAGATTTGGATTTGGAGGCCGTGGGTATGAAAGTGCGTTTGGGCCAGGTACGTTAAGTTAATACAGAGCTCAAAACCCCAAAAGTATAAATATATATCTTTCACCCCTAAATCCCTACATGCTCCATAATATTACGTAACCCTTGTATCCCTCTCACCTCCCTCGATTGAAAACAGAGTAGAAGAACAGAGGAGTCACAGCAAGCAAGAAAAGAGAGAAAAGGAAGAAGAAGAAAAAGAAGCAGAAGAAGAAGAGAAGTCCGTCGCAGCACATTGTCCTTTCCGTTGGTATTGTCTCGTAACTAGTAATGTCGAATTCGAGGTGAGTACGTGAACATCTAACGTATGGTTATAGTCGTAGGTTTGAATATTACGTTCGTAAAATCATTACGGTTGATCTATTTGGACTATATGTAAATTATGCCTTGTTTATCTCGTTTATGATTTGAAAAGCATGATTGGGTTTAAAATGGTTTAAGGGAATGTTATTTAATGTTTGGATATTGATTTAGAACCTGTTGATGCCTGGAATTTACGATTTTGATGTTGTTTTGGTTGGATGAACTAGAATTAGTGCAGGTCTGTCTGTCTTCTGGCACGATAGACGGTAGCCATGTACCATTGACACGGTACCCGCCTACCGTCGTCCACTTTGTTTTCCCCTCGCTTTGGCGGTACCTGTCACAAAACGCTACCTCGGTACCGGGTGGATGGTAGGCCCTACTACAGGTTCAGTAGAAGCTACCGTGACAGGCCTTCCATTTGAGTGTCACCGTTGACACGGTCAGGACCCACATATCGTGGGACGGTACCCTGGTACCGTGGAGTCGGTACCCCCTACCGCTAAGGGTACCGTGAGGCACCTGAACCGGTCTGAAATTTTGTTTGCGTCGAGGATCAATTCCAAGACTTTGTGTGTTGCATGACGGTAAGCACGGGTGTCAACATCCGGTGTTAGGCTGCTATTTGAGCATGAAAAACTTGGTAATTGATACTCGTTTGATGTATGAATATTATATTGTGGTTGGCTAATGAGTAAAGGATGAAACACCTAGAATGAACTCTAGAGACTGACCTGAATAGAATAGTGGTAAGTTATGCCGTAAGTTAGTAAGTTAGAGTCATGTGGTACCTGTTGGGTCCAATGGGTGTTCGGGTAAAAACATGTACACGGGGATCTAAGAACTTTCGTTCCAAAGGGGACAGGGATCTCACCCACCCAACGAGGAACTCCCGAGTTGGTTTGAGCTTGACCTTCGTTTCCTAGGGGAAAGTCATGACTACTATAGGCAAGTCAGATGCAGCTAAGCTTTAACCTAGCATAGGTTAAGAGCCAAGTGCGAAAAGAAAGTAAACTAAGTTAAAGAGGAAATGAACCTGATATTCTATCGTTACTAATTTATCTCATGAATGATGTTGTTATTGCATATGCATGATATATCCTGTATGTTGTTAAGTTTGTTGCCAAGCATGTCGCGTGCATGATATCATATGATGATATAGGCTAGTGGGATCATCTATGGGTATAGCTGTATGTTAGATATTTCTCAATTAGCTTCAATGCTAAGCGTGTAGCATTTGTTCCTTTACTACGAAACACGTTGGTAACCCTATATTTGCCAATTTCTTTTTCTTTCTCCAATTTCTTTGTAAAAGTGTTGTTTCAATTCAAGTTTACACTTTTTTCCTTTGTTTGTGTTAATTTTGAAAGATTCTAAAAAATATGGTTGATGTTCTTTTTTTTGGATTTTTTTATGTTTATACTAAATCCCTTATGAATGAAAATTGATTCATATTAGTTTTCTACCATTCTTGTACAAATTGTTGTTGCCTTGGTTGAATCGCACGATTTGATTTCATTCGGGTTATGCGGGCTGGGGGTGTTACACTTGGATTGCTAGGTTGTTCAAAACAAAATCTTGTATTGGGCCTAGATCCATATTTTATTTAACTATAGTTGTGATTTGCATCTTGCCTTGTAGTCAAACTATTTCAGGTATGAACTAATTTCCAATTGTAACATTTTACAACTCTAGGTTAGATGATTTTTATTTTATTTATTAATCTAACCATGTGCCTCTAAGTTATTAATCCTTTTACCTTAACTTAGTTAAGTCCTACCCGGGGCGTACTCAGTATCCATTGTTACGGATTTTGCACCATACCCATTGTTGAAACACGGGTTTACCACTTCATCGCACTAAAGTCGTGTTCGTTTTTAGGACAGGTTTTGATAATGCCAAACCGCCGTGAACGAGACAAGTTGTTGAATATATAAGGAGAGAAATAAAGATGAGAAGAAAGAAAGAGAACAAGAGCTAAAAGAGACCAAGAACGAAGATGGTAGTATTTAGTGTCGTTGAGTCGGTCACAATGCGATCAAGACCGACCCAAGCTTTGCACTTTGACTCTTTAGGCTAAAACATTTTTATTGCATTTCACATATCATCAAAATGGTTTTCAAAAATGTTTAAACGTATTAAAAACATTTGGTTTTTGCCCAAACCAAAAACCAAGCCATCTAGTGTTCGGCTTTCAGAAACTGGTTTCGATTTTCAGAAACTGGCGTTCGGCATTCGGTTATCGCCGTTGGTTTTTGGCGTCCAAATGAACCAAGTGGTTTTCAACATTTTATGATTGGTTTTTACTTCTAGCCACATTTAAATAGTTCTCCAACAAAAACACGTCAAAAATCACATTTCAGTTTTGGTCGTTTGGTAAAAACCATGTGAAACGACTATCGACGTTGGTTTTCGGCATTCAAACCAACCACTTGGTTTCCGAGTCCTTCTGTGTGGTAATTGTATTTGAATGCATTTAAATGGTTCTCCAATCAAAACATCATGAAAACCACCTTTTGGTTTTGTCTTTTGGTAAAAACCACCCGTGTATAGCTTTGACTTGGTCAACCGTGGTTTTTACCTTAACGCTGTGGTTTTCAACTTGCAAAGCTTGTTTTGACATCACAATACTTGAAGTATGTGTTTTGAACACTTGATTTTCATTTTGGAGAACTTCACATTTTATCGGTCGGGTTTCAGCACCAGTCGGCTAGGCCATGGTTCAAGCAAAAACCATAGGTTTCTGGACTAGCCATCAACCCAGCAATGGGAGATATTACCCATCGATGGGTAAGTGATCCTGGATTCCAGGACCATGCCACCCAGCGATGGGAGATATTACCCATCGATGGGTAAGTGATCCTTTAGCTCAGCTCGGTTCCAGAACCATGCAACACAGCGATGGGGAATTCCACCCATTGTTGTACAAGCCTTGGTTCAACATTAACACAAGGCAGAATTCTCCTACCCAGCAATGGGGTCTTGTACACATCGTTGGTCACCCAGCGATGGGAGGATATACTCATCGATGGTTAGGCATGACCGTTGTAAGGCATTTAAGCCTGATTCTTTCCTTGTTTGAAAGTCAACCTCCCACCCAGCAATGGGAAGTACTTACCCATCGATGGCTAGGTGACCATTGTCTTTAAAACTGAAGGAAAAATAGCTTACCATCGATGGGTAGTTCCATACATCGCTGGGTAAGCTGATTTCCTGCAGATCCACATTTTAATATCAATCCCACAAATCATGTTAATCACCCCTTAAATGTCTTGATTCGTTGGAGCCTATTTTGGCACTATAAAAGGGGGTGTTTGGGTCTGCATTACACACCAATTCACTTCACATTACACACATTATCATTACATGCATATAACATCTTTTTCCATAGCTTTCTAGACCCAAATTGTGTGAAGTTTGAGTTGTTCTTGAGCGTATATATTTTACTCAATATCCACTCTAAAAGAGAGTATTTGTTCTTGAGTGTTTGTGTTGTATACACGTTAAGGGAAGCTTGTTTCCCTTAGTTGTACAAAGGAAAGGTATTTTCCTTTGGTTTGAAGTCTTAGAGTGCGGTATCTCCGAGCAAGTATTGTTGAGGTCGTGGGACTCGAGTTCTCAGGTTCTAACGGTTTGTTAAGCACCCGTAAGCTTAACAGAAGTAGTGTAGCTCGAGAGAGTCTCTCGAGAGACTAGACTAGCCACACGTTGCTAGTATAAATCTTGGTGTGCTCCCTTTACGCTTTCTATGCTCTTTACTGTTCACGTTCTTAATTTTTTTATTCTTGCGATTTTTACGATCAAACGCTATTCACTCCCCCCCCCCTCCCCTCTAGAGTTGGCCACTTATTCTAACATCAATGTCAACAAGGCGTCATGCAGAATTTAGAGATAATGCACGATATGTAGATCGTATTTAAAAATCATACATTCTAAGCTACAATCATGCACCATGCAAACATACATACATCACATAATAAGCCTAAAAATTAAAAAATATTTTATAAAATTTGTTTTAAGACTTCACAATACTCAGAATATTTAATTCTAAATTTTTTGAAATTTTAAAATATTATTATTGTAAATATATGTATTTATTTTGATATTGGGATTTTAATTCGGAATAAATACTTATATATTTTAAAAATTAATAAATAAATTCCAGAATATGTATTTGAATTTTATAAGTCTGAGAATCGAATTTTCAGAATTTATAAACCATTAATTTTATAAGCTTCATTTATTTATTCGGTAATCAAGAATTAATTTTTGAAACTTATTTCCATATATCATAAATTTTCCAAAAATAAATATTTTAAAGATTTAATTATATTCTGAGCGAACCAGACTCTGAAATATTAAATAAGTATTTTTAGAAATTTCTTTTCCAGTAATTCGGAAATTACCGAAATAGAATTTTCAAAATTACGAATTTAATATTCTTAAATAATAAAAATTATTCCAAAAATTTTATAAAATCTTAGAATCATATTTCCCAATTTATAAAATTATATTTTAGAATTTTTATTATCTAATTCCATTTAATTAATGTTAAAGCCAAACTAGACAAATTAAATTTAGAAAATTAGAATTCAACTTGAAAAAAATTATTTTAAATTTCCAGAGTCTTTAAAATCATATTTTAACATCCTAGAATATTTAAAATCATTTTTCCGCATTTATCTTGTATTTATTTTGTAGTTAATCCAATTGACGAAAAAAGTTAATAATACAAATAAATAGGAAAATAATTTTCGAAAATAAATTTTAATTTTACAGAACACTTATACGAAATAAAACACAAATTTTACACTATAATATAACAACTCAGTAATATACATGTCTTTAGTGGTAGAAATGGTTTTCGTGTGAAATAATCACAGAATTCAATACATACTTAGTGTTAAATATATAAAAAATATTTAATATTATTGTATTATTATTGTTACCATACTTTTATATGTTTCCTAGAATATCTCTCCTACCCTAATTAGGATTGAGACCCTTGTATATATACATGTACTCTTCACACAATTAAAGCAATGAAAATAATTCTTCTTCATGGCCGCTTATTGTCAAGAACTCCGGAATATTGCGGATTGGTTGGACGATGTCGACGCCCCCGTTTCAGAGCACCAATTGATTCTTCAGATGTTACGAGGACTCCCAGAAGATCTCCAAACTCAGACCTCGTTCCTTCAATTTCAAGACCACATGCCGAGTTTTCTCCAGGTCCGGTCGGCCATCCTCCTCCTTGACCGACAATGGACCCCCCTAGGCAGCAATAGCAGCACGACGCTACTAGCGGGGTATGGCGGCAGCAGCTACGCAGGCGGACAGCACGACGGTACCGGCAGGCGCGGCTCTCCTCACGGCAACAACTCCGGCAGCGGAGGACACTTTTTTGGAAGCAACTATGGTGATGGTTCCTCCTCCGGGCAGCGTGGTGGCTTTGGACGCGGACAATGGCGCGGCAACGGCAATCGGGGTCGTGGTCGAGGGCGCCAAAACAGCGGATCGAGGCAGCGACCACCCACGGACAGGCACAATTTCTGGAACTCACCGTACCCAAACCCTAACCCCGGGGTGTTGGGCCCCCGGCCTGCTCCCGCCCTTTACCCATATCATGCCCATGCCCATTATACAACCACCCCACACCCCAACCCGTCACCCTACCCGCCCACCTCCCCTTACCCATCACCCTACCCCCCAGCCTTACGGCAGCCCCAC